GCACATACGACATATGAGAATATAGAAGTGCATGTAAAAAGCTTTTCATTGTTGAAACTGGCTCCGTTATAAAATTACATTTTTACCACAATGCAAAGCGACCGGAACAAAGCCGACTATAAATTACGCTAAATTCCATCGGACTTTTACATTGTTTAAAAAATAATACATCACTGGAAAAACTTGTTTGGTTTTGTTTTATACTGAGTTTGTAAGTTGCGAAGTCGTAATAAAGCGTTCTAGCCAGAATTATGCCGCGGGTTTCGGGCTTTTAATCCGCTTTCAAGAGTATTTTTTTTATTGCCTTCAAGTATTATAAAGTATTATTTTCTACTAAAGTCTTCCTATGAGGAATATGAAGTGCCTGATTATATAGCGGTGTTGTTCTAGACTAAAGCCATCTTTATTAGACTTAAAAAGTAGGAGATTCTTAATCTTGGATTTTTTATGTTTATATGTTACGTGACATCTTTGTTGTCTTATGGTAAGCATTAAAAGTTACCAGGACACAGGTTCGAATCCCAAGTCGGAAAAAATGTCATCAGTCGTGTCGGATGCCTTCGGACTATAAAAATGTATAGAGTGCACTTGTGCATATTACCTCTTACGCGTATGTTTATGGTCAGTGAAATTTAAAATTATGTTTTAGTGTACAATAACAATGCGAAAAAAAATTATATGAAGCCAGATTATTGAACTTTGAGTGCCTTGATAAACCATATCGCTGTCTGGTCCCTAAGCTAAAAATGAAAACTGGTCGAACAGTAAATTTCTACAAATAATAGTATATATTATATCTTATATTGTACAATAGACTTATTATCAATTAATAATGATAAAAGCCGTTAATAATTGAAATGATCTCAAAACACAAACAGGTCATTTTGTTAGCAGATAAAACAACTCGGCTCCCGTGATAGAATATAGGTCGTTGCGTCCCGTATTATACGATCTAGTACAGGGTTTGTCACATTGTAATATGTAGACGTGGGGGCTTTAGAAATATTTACAAAGGCACGGTTATTTAGCTTAGATGCTATATAGATAATATTGGTGAATTTTAAGTAGGTATAATTTATTTTATTTTATTTAATCATTTATTTCAGGCAATATTTACAAAAGGATCTTAAATATGTAAACAGAGGCCCATAGTATATACCTTAAAACTAATAATATATATATTAATTATAAAACATCACTGGAAAAACTTGTTTGGTTAATATAATGCAAATAACGTAATTCTTCCTCTTTTTGTTGCTAATGGACTAATATTTTTACTAACCAATGTTCATAGAAGTTTATTCCATTCTGTTGTTCATGTCTTTTGTTTCATTGGTCTAATCGCTGGTGGCTGGAGCTACTATTAAGATTGCAGATCCAAAGGTTTTGGGTTCGAGCCCCAAGCTGTCTAACTATAATATAGTTATTGGGTTTTTTTTTAATTTTCAGTAACAATCCGATTTGAATTAGCTGCGTTATGTCTACGTGCTTCGAAGAGCATGTAAGCCCGTCGGACCTATGTTTGATCTCTCACTGGTCTCGTTGAAACGTTTTAACGGTTTCTGAAAGTGACAGGAATAGAGAAATGTAATAGCGTTTACGCACACACTTGTGCACTATAATATTTATTGCGCAATTGGCTAGGCCCCGTAAATTGGCTGCCGTAACTGAAATCGCTTCGAAGGACATCATGTCTATTTATTATAGTATATATCCCTTATTGATTATTTACATTATATCTAAACTACAAGTATTTTTTTTTTTATTGTATGTTTGTTTGTTGACGGCGGGCTAAGGATTCAAGAGACAATGAGGACAATCACCGGTAGGTGATGCAAACAGGAGGGCAAACAGTAGTTTGCTGATAATCTGATATCAGAAATATTTGCTGACTTATATATCACAAGCCCGCGTTAAATAACCAGCGTTTTACACTACAAAGACATATAGAAAACCTTTAAAAAATATATATTTAGATTAGATTTGGCCCGCGACTTCATTCTTATAGCTTATTTGTAATTAAATGTACCGCTTTTAATGGTCGAGGCGGGACGTAAAATAACCTTCCTAATTGAATGGGCTGTAAAAAACAAACGAAAAGAATTAAAATTTGACTGGTACTATCAAAAATTTAGCCGAATCAATCAAATAATAATAAAAAAGATCTCTTTGGCTTTTTAATACATTCTTAATCAAGTGATTCTAGTACAGGTATTTTCTGCCTATTTTATAGGTGGCCTCGTAAGCATTGTAGCACTAACCACCCCCCGATCATATTTTCTTCTTGGCCAGATGCCACACACTATAATACTCTAGGCTTAATAGGATATTACTTGATGTAATAACGTAGTACTAGCATATTTCATAATTTAGCATAGGTATTTTATATCTTATTTGATGTTTCTTTCCTTTTAACCGTCTATCTATTGCTTCTCTTTTTTTCCCTTCCAGTCTTGTTCTGCTTTCTCTTCTATATCGAGACCTCCTATTATATTTTTATTTGATATGTAATATAAATGATAATTGAACCTATGACCTTTAACGTAGAGAACCATGTCTGGCACTACGCTACGATGGTTTTCGTTGTTTTACGCTCGTTGTCACGTGACCAACACCCTCGATAGCTGTCACCCTACATATGTTATAGCAATATTTCATTGTATATGTGGCTTTTAATTAACTGGAAATGCTTCAAGTGAATAGGTCAAGGGTTTGTAGTTTAAGATGAACTTTAAAATTAGTGTTCAAAAAGGGGTTAAAATTTTGTATTGTGTTTCCGACAAACTACTATTATACTCTCTTTAGGATTTTGCATATCTAATCAAAATAGAATGTATGCTATAATATTATAAGACATAAAGTTTCTCCATTTTTCTGTCCGTTTGTACGCTAAATAGTTCAAAAAATGGAACTGATCCGATCGCTGTTTTTATTGTATTGAAATCGTTTGCCCAGATTTAAAAAATAACGTAATACAAGTAACAATTTATGTTCATATCTAGATATTTATCTATCTATTTACGTAATATGTGCAAGCAATAAGGAGCGGATCCAAACGTTTAATGTACCAATTTGAAAATTAATATTTTCAACCAACTATAAAAAGGAGGAGGTTCTCAATTCGGCTATATTTTCTTGTTTTTATGTTTCTTACCTCAGGACTCCGTCATTTATTAACCGATTTGGACATTATTTGTTTTGTTTGAAAATGTATACTTCCAGTTAAGTCCCATTTAAATTTGAAAAAATCCACCCCCAAGGTTGGAAAAATAGCTAATGAAAATTTTATCCACTTCTAATTGTCATATTGACTTGAAATTTTGCAAGTGTTTCTAGTGCCGTTGATAATGCAGTGATTCGGTATCGTCTACCTGATCTGATGGTAAGTCCAGAAGGTGGATAGGTGGAACTCTTCAAAGACTTATAGTAGGTACAAACAAAATTCTTAAAGCATTTAAAATTTAGATGTTCCGCAATTGATCAATATGTTATACGTATATAACGAATACGTTCAAAGTAAGGTGAAAAATTAAAGCTTATTGAGAATCTGAGCCCAATTATCCACGTCGGTGGATACGTTTGGCAAACATCTCAACATTAATTTAGCAGTCGTTGGACCGAAGAATGAATCGCTATGTTTACATCCTCGTCTACTCCCATATAAAGTTCCTGGTATACAAACTCTAGGATGGAATATATTGGTGATTCATTGTTTATTATATGATTTTAAAGTAAGCTCACGTTAAGTATTCGTAACTAATGTGGTCTTTATCGTACAATCTATAATATTGTAACTTTCAGTTTGTTCTAATAAAGATTTTTTTATGAGTTTAAAAGAACATAATATTATAGTTATAAGCTCAATTAATTTTTTTATTAAAAATAAATCACTTGTTTTTTTTTTATTTTTATTAATTAATTTCATTAATAGGAAACTATAAATCCTAATAAATGAAAATCTTCCAAAAAAAAAGTTGTATAAAAAAAATAAAGCAATTTCGACCCGTAAAGTAAATGACGGGTTAAATGGACTTTAACGTCAAATAAATTGCTCGTTGAAATGGTAAATCTGTTTGTCTTGGCAGCTTTAAGCTCGCGTTTGGCACTCGCTGACAAGAGCTTGTACTCTGATACTCTCTTTGTGTTTCTGACCTTATGATATTCTACTACGCCTAATGAAATGAGGAGATCCCCACAGATGAGATTGCCTTAATATCGCGAGTTTCACAGTTTCGTAGATAACGAGCTATGGACATGATGGATGGCCGGTGTAGCGAGCAATATTATAGCAAAGGATTTTGTTGCCTAACGTTTATGAAATATACTTAATTTCCCTGTATCATATCTTAGAATGTTTATCAATTTGTTAACTTCTTATAAACACGATTGATTTAAGAGTTTTGGTACAAACACGTTTGATATATGATTTCTTGAGTTAGCTTTTCGTAACGAATGTTCATATATTATTCTCATGCTACGGATTATTTAGCTGCTTCTTGATATAAATCAATTGATTCACTTTGTGCTTTTATCTTTACCTAGTTTCGATCCCAAGATTTCACACTACTAACTCTATAGACATATATATATATATATATATATATATATATATATATATATATATATATATATATATATATATATATATATTATTAACTACCAAAAAAAAATTTGATAAATTACATAAAACCAAAAGTACTTAAAGTCAAATACTTCGTATATTTATTGTTTTAGATGAAAAGATAGATAATATACTATTTAGGTATATATAATATTAATTTTTGAAAATTTTCAATATCATATAGTTTTTTTTTTCGTTTTCGTGTAGACTTAGCAATACAGAGGTGTGCCACATACAGAATGCTGACAGTAATAGGTACATGTATACTTTTGTTTTCCACTTAATAGTTCTTCACCTAAAGATAATCTAGTTATTAATGGTTTTATTTACGTCTACGACGAGAAAGACACCATATAAAATATATATTTTGATTTATTTACAATAACAAAGTAGGTAAATGCTCTATTATTGCCTCCCCAACCATAAGTATGCAAATATCGGCCGGCAAAGGTTTAAGCAAAACAGGAAACAAAGAAATACTTAGACGAAATATGGCGTGTAGTGGAGCGTGACGAACAGTAGCATTGGCCTATAAACAATGTTAATAAAAATAAAAAATTCATAGTTAATTACTATGAAACATATTTTTTAATATTATTTTTTATATAAGTACTTCTAAGTGTAATAAAATTGTAACTAAGTCGAATCTGTACATTAAATATTTTTTGGGAAATCTTATTGAAGTAAACGTTATTAGCGAAACAGAAGCCGAATCTATAGTTTTTAGAATTTTTGTCTATCTATCTGTCTGTCTGTTATCGCATCACAGAAAAATCACTGGAGGAATTTTGATGAAATTCGGTATGGTGATAGCTGGTTATCCGGGTCAACATATAGAATACATTTTATCGCGAGAAAATATCTCATTTCTGAGAAAAAATATAAAAACTGCAATGTAGGAGTATACTAATATGTAAAACCTAAGAATTTGGTTTTTGGTCACCTGAACGCGGGCGGAGCCGCGGGCAATGCTAGTCTAGAATAAATGTTTTCAAAAGTTATTAATATTAAAAACTGAAAATATGCACTTACATTTGAATATTTGATGGATATAATATGTAGCATTAAATGTAATGTAGCTCATCGTATCACGTAAAAGCGGTGATTATTATAACACGCGTTCATATTTACAAGAGGGAGCGATTTAAAACTTCTCTTTTATAAAATGTCTAGGCCATAGTGGCTTAGAAAATTCGACATATCCTTTGATTTAAGTGTGACTTCGATTTCCTTCAAGTGAAATATTTATTTAGATAAGAAAAGTCATTAATTTCCCTCACGAGGAAAACACTACGAAAAATAAAACCAAACAGCATTGGATTAGCACTTAATCCTCCTTTCCTAACTTTCTAAAAGGGATATATATATATATATACACATATATATATATATATATATACACACACATATATATATATATATATATATATCCCTTTCAGAAAGGTTTCATATATATATATATACAACAACAACACCGCACCGTGTGACAACGTACGTGTTTGCTTACTTTGAAAAACTGACCCATATTTTGGTAAACGTTTCATTGGAGGCAACTGATATTCATTCTATACATATAATAAAATTGTAAGTGATCGCTATCTGCACATGGAAGATATTTGAGAAAAACTATTAGGGGTCTATATTAATGCAATAGAACCCAAAACAATGATTTTTAGAGTTTTTGTCTGTTTGTTTGCGTGTTTGTGTGTTTGTGCGCGCTAATCTCAGAAACGGCTTAATTGTTTTTCACTTATGTTATGTGGTAAGCTTTACTTAACATTTAGTATTTGTTTTATTTCAATCGGTTCATAAATAATAAAAGTTATGTCAATTTAAAGAATCACAGTCAGACAGTCTCTCAGACCATAGTCCAGACCATAGTCTGAGTACTAAATTTCATCTAAATCCGTCCAGCCGTTTCAGCGTTAAGTAGTAACAAATGTAAAGACCTGAAGTTATACATAGGCAGGCACACAGTTAGGCACCTACATACTGCTACCAGTAGTGTCTACGCGCCTAGGTAGTAGGTACATATCCGAACAAAGCAGGGGTAAATTTCTAGTATAATATATAGCGAAGTCAGGGTAAGGAATGAATCAGAAAGTGACAAAAACACTGCTAAAAATTAATAAAAATAATAATTCGTGTCGCATCTTAAGTATCATTTGACTGGCGACCATTATTAAAAAAATAATGAATAGCACTAGTAAACAAAAATTAAAATTTCCCTTCTAGACGAGAAAAGCTTTTGTTATATTTTTAATTATTTCGATTTTGTCTAACTTGGCTTTTGGCTTTTAACGCTTTACACTTGAGACTCTCAATGAAGATCTATTAAAAAACAGAAATATTTTTAAATGCAAAAATGACTTTATTATACTTAAGTTTTATTATTCTAAGGCATTTTCAGCAATATTGTTTATAAAATGTGTAATATGTTTATCTGCTTTTACGTCTTTAGAAGGCATCCTCGAGTAGTTAGAAATAATAAAAAAATAAAAATCGATTAAACGATAAAAAGGTCACATATGAAGTAGTTTAACAATATTTTCACAAACACACCAAGTGTAGACGTGGAGATGATACTCAGCTTGGTTTACATAAATCAATAACCGTTTGATCGCTGTGCACGATATTTGAACGGAAGCGCACTTTCGTATTTGATCTGCACATTACTAAATCCATAATATTTTATGTATCTAATCGTTGAAATATCGTAAAATTACAAAGTGGCACAGTTTTATATGACGTTTTATACAAATTACAATAATAAATGCACTATAAAACGTCGTAAATAAATCCGAAACTGATGGACGGAATTACGAGCTATTACAATTGGAGAGATAAAAGCGATAAATAGATATTCAGCAATATATTTTTTATTAATCTCGTTATCTTCCCTTAGGTATTTTTCTTAGGTCATTGCAATACTACAATCTGTACGTAATTCAGAAACTTTAGATAGATACATATATTTCATGGGGATCTCTCAAAGTACAGAGATAAACATTAAGCATAATCCTTTGACACTAACCGATCTAGAAATAGATAGCTCCTAGATTAAATAATGTCATAGGTTCTGCGCAAATTTATCATCCGTTGATAAATCTCTGAGTTAAAGACGAAATATCCAACAAATAAAATTTCGCATTAACATATTATTTTATAACGTAGCGGCTTTATCAGTGTGTTGTGGTTGTGTGTTAAATGTGTAAATAAAATATTTTTTTGATTTTGATTTTTATTTTTAGTTACTTATTTTTAATTTTAAAAATTATATAATTCATTATAGATGAGTCCTCGTACCTACAGTTCGGTTTGAGAGCAGTTGTCCTGCAAGTTGGTGATGAGCTCTCAGTTCTTCTTTATTTATTTATTTATTTATTTTTTATTTATTTATTAAAGGACAACCAACAAAAGATACATTAAAAGCGGCATAATATTCATGTGTTAACAATTTCATTAATGTTCTTTTAGTGATAGGTTATCACAGCATGCTCTTTTTTTTTAAATCACGTCAATAACAGTTAAATATAAAATGGAAATTTAAAATTAAATCATAATAATACGTTAATGAATAAAGATGAAAATTAAATTATAAAATTAATACATGACAATTTAAATATAAAAAATTACTTAATTAGACATAATATAATTAGAATAAATAAGTTAATAATATTTAAATAGTTAGTCCAATAAAACAAGTAAATTCAATTTGGGATTAGAATTAATAGCAATGCACAAAACAAAGTAATAAAAAAAATATATCATAATTTATCGTAGTAACGATTGGCGATAAGTCGAAGGGTTACAATTCTGATAAATATTCGATAACTTTGCGCTTAAATTGAGGTAGTCTGTCATGGCATATGTCTACGCTTAAGATTTTTTTGTGATATTATTGTATAATCTCGACATTCTTGGCACAGGGGAATTCTTTCCCAAGTGAGTTCTGTAGACACTTACTTCTAACAAGTTGCACGGATGTCGGGGTATTTTAGGTGGGACGTGGAATGCAAATTTATTAAAAATATCGGAACAGTCAACTTCATTATTTAGGACTTTATAGAGAAAAGTCATTGCTAACATTTCTCTCCTATTTTTAAGACTATTAATATTAAAATGTTTAAGTCTTTCATCATAGCTATTTAATTTTAATTTATATCTATATGATAGTTGCCGCAACAAACGCTTTTGCACAGATTCCAGTCTAGTGGTGTGGCTTTTCTTGTAAGGTGACCATATGAGAGAACAGTATTCAAGTCGACTGCGAACAAGACTATTGAATAACTTTAAAGTCGTTATTGGATTCTTAAAGGTTTTTGAGGACCTCATAATAAAGCCAAGAGACTTATTGGCCAAATCGAGACAATGGTCAATATGAGGACCAAAAGTAATGCGACTATCCATCATCACACCCAGATCTCGTATTTGTAATAATTCAGTTAATTCATGTTGGTCAATGTAATATTTAGACGGTGTAATTTTCTTCTTACGCGTAAACTTAATATGATGACATTTTTCAATGTTAAGGTACATTCTGTTCATTTTGCACCATTCAGTCAATCTATGTATATCTTCTTGAAGTAAGTACTGGTCATCCATTCCTTTAACGACACGCAATAGTTTTAAATCATCGGCAAATAGGCTTGCGGTGCTATATTTGAAAATATTGATGATGTCGTCAATAAAAATAATAAAAAACAATGGACCAAGATTGGATCCTTGAGGGACACCTGAAAAATTGCAAAACGTTTGCGATTGGTGACCATCTATTACCACGGTGGAAGATCTGCCAATAAGATACGTTTCGCACCATGCCAGGAGCTTGTTTGATATCCCGTATGCAGAAAGTTTTTTTAAAAGTAATCTGTGGTTAACCTTGTCAAATGCTTTCGAGAAGTCTGCATAAACGACATCTACTTGATTGCCCTGATCGATGTTGTCAGATATAAAAGAAACGTGCAGCAATAAATTTGTGTTGGTCGAACGTTGAGACATAAAACCATGCTGTTCTTTGTGTAAAGTACTGTTAATATGATTATAAATATGTGCATAGACGAGGGATTCAAATACTTTTGCCATTGAAGATATGATTGAGATGGGTCGATAGTTACTCACCACGTCTTTTCTGCCAGACTTGTGTACTGGAACAATTCTACTTATTTTCCATTTGTCAGGAAACAGGCCATCTTTTAAAGATCGATTGAAAATAAGGAATAATGGCAAGGAGAGTTGGTACGCGCACTTGGATAAAAATAAAGGTGGTATGTTATCTGGTCCCGCCCCCTTATTTAAGTCAAGTCTCTTTAATTTTTTATAAATCAAGTCTCGTGTCAATTCGAAAGTGTCAATATCACTAGATGTATTAATGGCCGTACCTACATTTCTGAACTCACTAGTAATTGTGTTATCATTCTCGTATACGGATGAAAAGTGTTTCGCAAAGAGATCGCATATAGAGTCAACTGTTGTAGCTTTAGTTCCATTGCATGTCATCACGGGTGGATATGCACTCTTGGTTTTACGGAGATTCTTTAAATGGGTCCAGAAATACTTTGGGTTTTTGCCTATTTCGTTTTCTATATTACAAATGTAATTGTTATAACATATTGTTATAAGCCTATCACAATCTCTTCTCAGATAGCGAAATTCTAACACATCCAATGGATTATGATATCTTTTTACCTTCAAATGATATTTATACTTTCGATGAAGCAATTTTATTAGCTGGGGGGTATACCAGATTGGATGAGTATTGATTTTGTTATTCCTCATAGGTACATGTCTCTTTATTACTTCCCTAATGATCACATAGAATGTACTAAGCATTTCATTAACATCGTTACAATTGTAAAATACTTGAACCCAATCAATTTCATCCAATTCTGCCATGATTCTCTCATAATCAGCTTTATGAAACCTGTACTTATTTCTCGAAGCTAATTTGGAATTTCTTGCGATAGGTATATTAATTGAAATGTCAATAGGTGGATGGTATTTGTCACAATGTTTTAATGAATTTTGACTTTCACATATTGTAACAATGTCCTCGTTACACAATACCAAATCAAGTATTTTATTTTGATGATTTTGCACAAAATTATATTGATTTAAATTATTTAGAGACATGAAATCCACTAAAGCAGATTTTAAAGAGCAGTTACTGTAATTGGCCGGTTCAGTATAGGTTGTGTTGATCACTTTGGTCCAAAGTATGCCACTCAGGTTAAAGTCTCCCAATATGAGAGTTAAATTGTTATTATTCTTGTCTAGTACATTATTCGCATTTTCCAAAAAATTGTCAAGAAGAGTCATATGGATTGGAGGGGGCAGATATTCACAACATAGATGTAGGGATATGGTTTTGTTGTTCATTCTTACCTCAACCGTTACCCATAGGTCTTCACAGTTACTCTCCCAGCTGGATTCACGGTAAGAAGCGAACCGGTTAGAGACTGCTATGAGCACACCACCACCCGTTTTCTTATTTTTACTAAAAGAAGAAGTATCTCGATCACGTCTATAAACCTCATATCTGTTATCAAAGATTTCAGCGTTGACAATGCCATCACATAGCCACGTTTCGGTTAACACAATTATATCGTAGTTATTACTTAAGATTTGCAATCGTACCTCAGATAAAAATGATTTTAATAACAACATAATTGATAATAACAGTGGATTGAATCGAATTTTAAATAACTATAAACAAAACATCATGCTTAGTACTAACAATTATATATAAAACCTAATTTAAGCTTTTTAAAGTATCCATATTTTTAATAAACTTATAGTCAGAAGAGTCACTTTTCCGCATATATACATGACCACCTTTAACCCACACATATTTATATTTCAGTTCTTTTGCTTTAGTTCTCGCAGCTGCATGCAAGGCCTTCATTGACGGGGATAAGTGATCCGTAACGTATATTGGTTTATGTTCACCTCCCATTCCAATATGACTAGTGTTTAGTTTGTCACTACTATTTCTCTTGTTGAATGCGATAGCGGCTGCTAAAAAGCCGTCACGAATTCTAGGGCAACTAAATTTTACTATAATTGATCGTGGTCGGTTACTATTTTTTTGAATCTTAGATATTCTTGTGCATAGATGAATGTCTGATTCAACGAGATTATATTTAATAGTGTGGGCTAATTGTTTCACTGTAGTGATCAAGTTTTCATTCTTGTGTTCGGGAAGGCATTGTATTTCTACATTGCTCGCCCGGGAGTGCCTTTCTATTTGAGACATCCTCGAATCAACTTCTTGGATGTAGCTGCGTAAATTCTTGTTTTCCGATTCCAACTGATTGATTATTTCTATTTCTTGTTGCATCTCCCGTCTCACTTCCTCATATTCTTTTTCCATAAATGATATAGATTCTGTGACTTGGGTAATCTGGCTCAATATTTCGGATATTTTATTACTAAGTTGAGTTTCTATTTTTGATTGAAATGCACCGAAAATTGTGTTTAACTCTTCCCTAATGATTTGTCGAACATCGGCGGATGTTAACGAGGAGTCGGTGTCGGATGCCTTAGTAAGTTTCTGTTTATTTCTAACTGTCACATTCAAGGAGGAGTCATGTTTATCGTTGGAAAGAGTGGATGCTGCTCGAACAGGTGTGTTTGAGTTATCTAAGCCGGCTCTGGGACGATTGCATTCAGGACACAGCCAGTTCGCTTTAAAGTCATTAGTAACTTCTTTGTATTGTAAAGTAGTAGTCGTTGCTATCATGTATAGCATAGTGATATTTCTTCAAACATTGCGAGCATATTATAAATTCGTTTGAGTTCTGTTGACGGTTGCAACATTCGAATTTCATCTTATTAGTTTTTGTCTTCGTTAATTCATTCATACTGCTTAATAATATTGTTTAATATTCACAGAAAATAAATATTAAAATAATTTATAAAATTGTACTACGTTGGAACCGGGGTTCGATCTCAGAATCGCCGCGCTGGTAGCTATCTTTAAGGCACTAGACCAACAATAGACTTAACGCAACTTGCAAATTTCTTGTATCATATATTATTATATATTCTTTGTGTGGGATGCTGACATTCTTCTTTATTATAAACATGACAGACTTTCAGTTAAAGTTACAATAACTTTTAAACCCCTTTGATTCAACCCTGTAGCGAAATTCGTTCTAACCTGATGTTTTTTACCGATCAACTTACCAAATCTATTTGCTACATACGTAAAGTAGTTTCGAGATTTCTAGTTTAGGCATTGAGTGAATGATTTTTCACTTGTTCATATATAGATTAAAGATCATAATTGCTTATTTATGTTTTGTATGTAAAAATAAGTACATTGAAGAGCTTTTGCGAGCTTTTCGTGTGGTTTCTACCTAAATCAAAAACTCGTTTCATCGGGATTAAGCAGCTGAGGGCGGAATTGTTCTTCCACAACAGCCGGCCTACCCTTAAATATTTCTCATGCTTTCCTATTGAGATGTACATGTTATTGCATCCAATGAATTTACATTTTCGAACAAAATATTTGCAATTTAAACCGAATGAGTATTAAATGATGAGTTTTGCTGTTATCATGTTGTTTTTGATTTTAATGGATGAAAGTTTTTAAATTGGTGAAAAAGTCATTTACAATGTCATTATAATGTGGAATGCGATATTTACAATTTCTTCTTTTACATAAAAAAATATTTCGTTATGAAAAAAGCATTTAGGTTATTATTCTTGATATTTAGTATATTATAATAATGTAATCCATACTAATATTATAAATGTGAAAGTGTGTTTGTTTGTTTGTTTGTTTGTTTGTTTGTCTTTCTTTTACGTTGAAACGGAATGACGGATTGGCGGGATTTTTTGGTGTGAAGTTGTTGGAGAGCTGGAGAGTGACATAGGCTATTTTTATAGCGGGAGATCATCTCATTCCCACAGGAAAAGACATTATAATACGATCCAAAAATTTATTTCTGATCTGAATTGACTTGAAACTTGGTATTAATGCACTTCAATACAATTAAATTAATACTTTCTTAGATTTACGCGAATATTTGACATTTTAAATAAAACTATCTTTTCGGATTATTTCGCGGATTTATTTTGATTTTTGGTTCCCGACGTTTCGAATGCTTTACAGCATCCATGGTCACGAAACGTCGGGGACCAAAAATGAAAATAAATCCGCGAAATAATCCGAAAAGATAGTTTTATTTACAATTAAATTAATACGTGTTTTAGCATTTTTGAAATCCATCCTATAAGGGGGTGAAAAAAGGGGATGAAAGTTTGTATAAAACCTAGGTACCTACCTTTTTAGAGATTTTTTTGTAATTTTAGAGCGAGCGAAGCCGCGGGTTCTGCTAGTTATACCATAAACAATAATGATTGGTACATATTGTGTACATAAGAAAATATTAAAATGTTATGTTTAATATATTGTAATAGTATTGTTTTGAAATATTAAAATATTCTATTTTAAAGACCACCAGCTGTAGTGTTTCGCTATCTTTTGCTGTTTTGCAATATCAATAGTTTGTTGGATTGCGTCATTTAGTATTGGGAATTGTTGGTCCTCCACTTTTGCGTCTGGCGAACGTTTTAATATTTCTGATAGTTCTCATAGAGTTTTGCATGCTATTGATTTTAATGCAGCGTAATAATATAATATCTATTGCGGATATATGTATACATAGTAATAACATTTATTTTATGTATTTAGCCCTTTTATTAACGTCCCACTGCTGAGCACGGGCCTCTTTTCAATACGAGGGGGATCAGGCCATAGACTCAGGACTTCACATGTTTTTAGAAAACTTGCTAGGTTCTCTCAAACATGCAGGTTTCCTCACGATGTTTTCCTTCACCGTTAAGACAAGTGGTAGGTAATCATGTTAGAAATGATTCGCACATGAAAATATCAGAGATCCGGGATTTGAACCCACTTCACTCCGGTTTTCCAAGCGAGCGCGTTACCACTGAGCTAATACTGCCTAAGATGTATGTTATTGCCTGAATTAACTAGTGTGGAATGTTTTCTGAAATGTCTCGAAATTAAAAAAAAGCAGTGAAATTTTTCACAGTCAACTTACTCGTTTGCGCCCCTAGACGCATTTTGTATTTATAATATTACTAGCCGAACCCGCGGCTTCGCTCGCGCTAAATCTACAAGAAAATCTCTAAAAAGGTAGTTTCATACAAACTTTCATCCCCTATTTTACCCCCTTATAGGGTGAATTTCAAAAAATGCTAAAAGATATTTTTTTTAATTTTATTGAAGATCATTAATACCAAGTTTCAAGTAATTCTGATCATAAATATTTTTTTGGATTGTATTATAACGTGTTTTCGTTTTCTCGGGATTTGTACCCGCTTCACTCGGTTTCCCAAGCGAGCGCGTTACTATTAGGCTACCACTGCCTAGGTGGCTCATTAGCATCCAACAATGCATCCAGGCGTGAAGCAAAGTAACGCACTTGGTAGAGGCGTCGTGATTAGGATAAAAACTTTATAGTACTTACTTATCATACATACAGTCGTTTCAGCCTTAAAAAGTAAACAAACAAAAAATTTTGCATTTAAATATAAAGGCACTTGGCCTCTATCATCATTATTAATCGTTTCCATATTCAATAATTATTACTATAATGTGGGTAGACGTGAGTTGACGGACGAAGAGAATAAAACGACGCTTCACAAATCATACACAATATAATCACTAATTATAATCCCTTTTACAATTGTTCATTAACACTTCACAATTCTTAACAGTTCTTAATTTCAATTAAAAATTCAAACACAGACACTCCACCGAACACGTAATGTAACGATGCGATGCGAATCGAATGACAAAAGTAATGTCCGTCTCGACTCACACGCTAATGCTCACTAGCGCCCGGGGTTGTGTCAGAGTGTCGAAACGGCACTCTCAAAAATGTCAATGCGCCGTCACGGCCGGACTGACGATAGCACGCCCTCGTGCCTCTTCTCACCTCGCTGTTCTAGTTAATCTGCAAAGATAAAACATCATGTTTTTTCCAGTACGCTCGCTCATCCCTGACTCAATATAGTTACTGCGAAAATTTTATGTCTCATGTCATGTGTGACTTTCCATTTCACCTATAGAATGGACCGGATAACTGAACGTAGGCGTCCCTTCGACTAGCCAACATTCGCAATGCTGACATAGACCGGACAACCCCTCAGCGTCCCTTCGACCATCTAACACAATCAGACTTCATATACGCGACCGGTAATCTGATCCGAAACATCGACCTACATAAGCCAGTTTCCTTGACCGATTACCGTCTCCAGTACAACACCACAAACACTCTACTACAGTCTGTCTTAGAACATCGACCCGCATGAGCCAGTTCTAACGCCCAGACACTTCTCGAACCCATTAACTTCAGTATGTCACACATGAGCACATATATTAAGAAAAATGACAGAGTAACATTAAACAAGGCTCTACTATCAAGTAAACTTACGATTTAGTTTTCATCACGCTCAGAGGCTGAGAGGGTCCCCGAACTAGCGGTAAGAGTTTGCGAACTAGCTATAGACATTGTATCACTATCATCGTCAGATGGTACCCCCTCATTCTCTTGACCGTGGATCGCCGTCACGGCCATCCTGATATCATCATACAAATGATGACTCTGGTTTATCCAAGAAAGGTAAGCATGTTCATTTTGTAGAGTTGCATAAGGGTTGGCTTTCTGTGGAACAGAAACGCGATAGAGAGATTCAAGATCTTATCAGTAAGTACAATGACAAAGATTTACCAGAATTAGTTGCGCATACTTACGATGTCCGAAAAGGCATTCTTTATAGGAAGATAGAACGTAACAAGACTACTTTTTGGTTGCCAGTCGTACCTAGGTCTCTTACGTGGACTTTGATTAATCATGTGCATACAGAAATTAAGCACCTTGGAGCTGAAAAGACCCTTGACAAAATATATGAGCAATATTGGTTTCCACAGATGGCTAAGCAAGTTCGTAAATTTATTGAATCTTGCATAGTTTGCAAAGCCTCAAAGGGTTGTTCAGGGGCTTAGCAGGTACAACTCCACCCAATACCGAAAGTAGCAACACCATGGGATACAACACATATCGACATGACAGGGAAACTCAGTGGAAAGAGTGATAGGAAAGAATACGCCTCAGTCATAATCGATTCCTTCACAAAATACGTCCTACTTGAGTATACACCCTCACTTGATGCGGCAAGTGCCATTAAAGCTCTTAGAAAAGCTGTCTGTCTGTTCGGTGCCCCAAAACGGATTATTGCTGATCAGGGTCGGTGTTATATAAGCGCAGACTTTAAACAATTCTGCAGCGATCATAACATGGAGCTTCACCTTACTGCTACTGGCTCTAGCAGGGCTAACGGCCAAGTTGAGCGGGTGATGAGGACTTTGAAATGCTTACTTACAATAGTAGAAAACGAAACCAATAAAACATGGAGAGACGAACTCCCGGAGGTACAGCTAGCTCTTAACTCGACGCGTTCTAGAGTAACCGGATATACACCAACAGAATTGATGTTTGGCATACGAGCACAGTCCTTGGGAATGTCTAGCATATTACCGCACTCAGAGCCCGAATCTCGTCTAGACTTAAACGCAATTCGTCAGGATGCATCTTCAAACATTGAAAAAACTGCCACTGCTGATACTATACGTTTCAACCGCGGTAGAGCAACAGTAAAACCTTTTATGCAAGGGGATTTCGTCTTTATAAAATGTAGCGAACGTAATCAAACGAA